CCCTTCCCCCCCCCCTCTCTCCTCTGGACTGCAGTGTCGATAGCGGGAGTCATTGTGGCGTAAAGCATGTGGCGAAGTGTGGTGATTCGGCGTAACATCAGTCGAGGAGGGAGGGGGGGGTGTTGCGTTCCCAGGCTCGGTATTTTGATTTTGTTTCCTTCAGTATTTTTGTTGCATTTGTCAGGTTCTAATTTATCTTTCTATTTTATTATTATCATTATTATTTATCTGCTTGGTAGCTTTAATTTCTTTCTCTAATATATTTTTTGTCCTAGTTTCCCAGATTTGTTTTTTTCTTCTCATGGCTTTCCCCTCTCTTCTCTTTCCCTTGATATTCGTTCCTTTCTTGTTTATTTATTTCTTCTATATTTACTGTTTTTTGTTTTCCGTTCCTTATGTCTTTCTCTTTCTCCTCTCACCGGCTTTCATTCGGTGATTTTATCAACTTTATTAATAGTTCCTTTGATTCAGTGATCACGTCATTAGTTGACGATATCCTAGGGTTGTTGACATGTTTCAAACGTGTTTCATTACTACATCTTTCGTTTGCCAGGAATGACAGCAGCAGCAACAACAAATAAAGGCATCAGCAAGTCATAGTGTGAAAATCTTCACGCTTTCACATAACATTTAATCTGTTTATTCGCTTTGATATTTATGGTAATTAATCGTCGTTAAAGGTATGCCGATTAGCATTTTGGGGATAAATGTAATGGGTAATGATTTTAATGAATATATTAATATTGGCAGTGATGATCGACTAATGATAGTCGTTGGGATGGCAAAAAAGATGATAACTGATAATTATATTGATAGTCACAGTGAGAGAATAATGATTATGGGAAGTGTTGATTTCAATATGCTGGCAACGATAATGATGGTAATACTGATAACGATAATCATGAGAGCAGTGGCAAATATTGGCATGATCGTTTTTGAGTAGTACGCTGATTGTGATGATAATGACCACGTTGATGATAGTAATCAATGATAATGGCAATGAATAGTGGTAATGATAATGATGTTATCACTGATATTGATAATGCGGATATTGGGAAGGATGAGGAGAGAGGGAGAGGAAGAGGGAGAGGGAGTGGAAGAGGGGAGAGGGAGGGAAGAGAGAAGAGGGAGAGGGAGAGGAGAGAAGAGGAGAGGAGAGGGAGAGGGAGAAGGGAGAGAAGAGAAGGAGAGGAGAAGAGAAGAGAAAGAAGAGAGAGAAGAGAGAGAGAGAGAAAGAGAGAGAGAGAGAGAGAGAGAGAGAGAGAGGAGAGAGAGAGAGAGAGAGAGAGAGAGAGAGGAATTAATATTGAGAGAGTTTGAGAGAGGGGGAGAGGAAGAGGAAGAGAAGAGAAAGGAAAGGAAAGGAAAAGGAAAAAAAGTAAGGAAAGGGGGGGAGAGGAGAGGAGAGGGAGAGGGAGAGGGAGAGGAAGAGGGAAGAGAGAAAGAGGGAAGAGAAGAGAAGAGAAAGAGAAAGAGAAAGAGAAGAAAAGAAAGAGAAAGAGAAAGAAGAAAAGAGAAGAGAAAGAGAAGAGAAAGAGAGAGAGAGAGAGAGAGAGAGAGAGAGAGAGAGAGAGAGAGAGAGAGAGAGAGAGAGAGAGAGAGAGAGAGAGAGAAAGCGAGCAAAAGGACAGACAGGACATTAATCCCTGTCCATTTATGTTTATGTAAACACATAATATATACAGCTAATAACTCCCCCCCCCCCCCCGCGCCCGAATATCCCCTCGCCCTCATTTTTAAGTTCTTGTTAATTTAAGGAGGGCATTTTTCATTGCCGGAGATAACCGCCTTAGCGAGAAGTATTTGAGGAGGGTGATTAAAGGAGGGTGATTAAAAGAGGGTTTGGGGGGGCAAGGAGTGAGGGAGAAGGAGGGGAGGGGAGGTAGAAAGGGGATGGCTGTAGCGAGATTGAAGGAGGGGAAGGATCGGAGAGTTGGGGAGAGAGGTAGGAGGTAGGGAGATGGAAGGGATGGAGGCAAAGACGGGGAGAGACAGGGGTGAACAGAAGGGAGGAAGGAAGGAGGGAGGGAGAGGAGGGAAAGGAAGGAAGGAAGAAGGAAAGGAGTAGTGAGTGAATGAGTGAGGGAGGAGGGAGGAGGAAAGGAAGGAAGGAGGGAGTGAGTGAGGGAGGAAAGGAAGGAAGGAAGGAAGGAAGGAAAGAAAGAAAAAGAAAGAAGAAAGAAAGAAAGAGAAAGAGAAGAAATAAGAACAACAGAAAGAAAGAAAGAAAGAAAGAAGAAAGAGAGAAAGAAAGAGGGAGAGAGAGAGAGAGAGAGAGAGAGAGAGAGAGAGAGAGAGCAAGGAAGGCAGGAACGAACAAACAAACAAACAGTCGGGGAAAATGGAAGACGAAACCACGAAAAAATGAAGGTGAAAGGAGCACAAAAATCGAAAAGGGGGGGGGGGGAGAAGGAAACAGGGAAAAAATAATTAAAAACTAAGAAAAAAAAGAACTGCAAGATTTAAAAAAGCCGAATAAACGTGAGTCTGCGAACTTGCCCTGAACATGAACAGGTGGTCCGTGTGCCAACGCCGCAGGGCTGGCCGGGAATTCAGAGAATATTCCAGATGATTCTGTAGAGATAAACTAGATTCCACCTGAAGGGGTATGTGGGATGTGTTGGGTGTGTGTTTTTATTACCTCGGTTTGTGATCTGGTGTTATTTGTGTTATTTTTGTTTTTATTATTAGTGTTATCATTAATAGTATTTTTGTTATTAATAATTATATTATTTTTGTTATTATTATTGTTAGGCTTATCATCATCATCATCATACATTGTTATTATGTTATTATTATAATGAAATTGATGATAGTAATAGTGATGGTAATAATAATGATACTCTTCTTGTACTACTACCACTAAAAATGATAAGGATAATGATGATGATGATAATTTTGGTAATGATAATGAAGATTATGGTGTTGATAATGATAATAATGATAATGATACTACTACTATTACTACTACTATTACTACTTCTAATAATAATGATAATGATACAGATGATCATAATAATAATAATGGTAATAGTTATGATAATGATAATGATAAAATAATAATAATGATAAAAATGAAAATGATGAAAGTATGATAGAATGATGATAATGATAATGATGATAAAAATAATGATAATAATAATAATAATAATGATAATATTAATAATAACAGTGATAGTAATAATAATAATAATAGTAACAGTAATAGTTATGATAATGATGATAGTAATAATAATGAAAATTATAATGACAATAAGAATAATATTGACAATGACAATAAGAATGATATTGACAATGACAATAAGAATAATATTGACAATTACAACAACAATAACATGGTAAAAATAACAATGATAATGACAGTGATAGTGTTAATAATAACAGTAATAATTATAATGATGATAATGATAATGCTACAATTATGAGTGTTTTGTCCGTTCTTTCGTTCCCACGTTATGTTTATAGTTTACCCCTGAAATAACATTCCCTGCGACTCCGGACTTGAAGTTGCTTCATTTTGGTGTAAAATGGGGTGATAACTAACATCACAAATATTATCACCACTGTTACTGTCATTACTTTTATCATTCCCATTGTCACTCTCCGAGGAAAGTAGGCTGCATTAAAGTAGTCAGATCGCCGGTTTATGCAAATTCATTATTTACACGACGAGCTGAGGGAGGCGGTTAAGAAGGAAGGTAAAAGTTAAAGGCGGAAGGAAAGGGGAGAAGGAGAAAGGGAGGGAAAGGAGGCTTAAAAACAGAGGAGAAATGGAGGGGACTTAAAGAGGAGGAGGAGATGGGGATTGGAGAGGGGACTCAAAGGGGGAATGGAGGAGGGAAGGACAAGAATAATGATAATATCAGTAAATAAAGATAACATTAATGATAATTGTAATGACGAGGGTAATACCTATGATGATAATATTAATGATGATGATAGTAAAGCATAAAATAAAGATATAAATAAAGATAATGTTGATAATATCAATGATTATAATGGTAATGAGGATGATGACAATAATGAGAACAATGAGAATATCATCTTGCGTGTACAAGATGTGTATGAACGCGGGCGCTCGTAGTATATTTCGCAAGAAGACATCGGGCGAAAGGCTCCAAGTCCCCCCTCGCCAAACTCCTTCCCCGCCCATCGCATCTGGCTCTTTTCTTTTTTCCTTCCCTTCTCTCCTCTCCCGTCCACCCATATTCGCATTTCGTCTTAGTCACCCCTTCCTTCCCCGTTTTCCTTTTTTCTCCTTCGCTGTTCGGTTAAGTACATGGGTGCCGTAGAAGGTTTTTTTTTTATAATGTAATTATTATAACGAGATGAGGCTAATGGAGCAGCAGCATAGATAATTAAAAGATAATTAACAGAGAGGCAGATGAATGGGTTTCCCCCTCCCAGCCCTTGGTCCTAATGGGAGTCTGAGATGATTGATTCATGGTTTGTAAAAATCGGGTTTTATCGATGTATTGATTTCGTCTTGGTGGGGGGGGGTAGGGTAGGGGTGGAGGGTGGGCATTGTTCCGGTTTTCTCTTTTACATGTTCTGTTTTTTTTTCTTTTTCTCTCTGTCTGACTCTCTCTCTCTCTCTCTCTCTCTCTCTCTCTCTCTCTCTCTCTCTCTCTCTCTCTCTCTCTCTCTCTCTCTCTCTCTCTCTCTCTCCTCTCTCTCTCTCTCTCTCTCTCTCTCTCTCTCTCTCTCTCTCTCTCTCTCTCTCTCTCTCTCTCTCTCTCTCTCTCTCTCTCTCTCTCTCTCTCTCTCTCTCTCCTCTCTCTCTCTCTTTCTCTCTCTCTCTCTCACACACTTTCCGTAGTACTCGATTTTGAGAGTGATACGAAGTGTTCGAAAAGTTACATATTGCCTGTTGACGCTGCTTAAAGACATATGGTAACCATTTGGAAATTCAAAATTTCCCTGTTATTTTATTCGTTTCATATTTAAATGTTATAATTTTACGTGATTTTCCCCACTAGTAGTGCAAGGTTTCGCGCAGCATGTATCCCCAAAGACAGTGTCCCTCCCCCCCTGCCCCCCATCCCTCGCCTTCTGGGGCGTTTCCCTCCCGCCCGCGCCCCCAGCGTCTGCCAACACCCTGCCCTGTCCAGCACCTACTCGAGGGCCTCTCACGCCGGCTGGGAGGCGAATCAGTTTCATCCGAGAGGTCTGCGTGGCCCGGGGGTGTCTGCCGCCCACAGGAGCTCGTGTACAAGCAGGCGGGCGTCGTGGGTGGAAATGACCCCTGGGGAAGAGCACTGGCAGGCTTCGAACCTGTCTCGACTCTCGACGAGGTCTGGTGGGTCGGCTCTCAGTCTCGGCAGGCGGGGCGCGGCGTGGGCAGCGTGCGGGAGAGGGCGTCTGCTCCGCCCCGCCCTCGCCTCGCCCCGCGCGCCGCCGCCCCGCAGCCCCACCACGAGAGGACCCACGTGGAGACTCAGACCAGCTTCCAGAGTTCGGTGCCTTCCACCCCCACGCCCACACCCCCTTCTCCCTCCCCGCCCATGAGGCCGGACTCCCCACCCTTCCCAGGCCGCGCCCGAGGCCACCCTGCGCCACACCCCAGCCCCCACCACACGCCCCTCTACCACCCACTCTCCATCCCCGCCCGAACGCTCTTTCTCCCCGCCCACATCTGCTCGGAAAATCTCCCGCAGACAGACGCTCTTCAATTATGATGTGCTAAAGAATACATTTTGTCTTTCCTGCCCGCCCCTCGGACTCGCCTTCGCCTCCTCCATGGCCGTCAAATACCAACACGCAGATGACACTGAGGTAAGTCCAATGATTTCTAATTTTGTCTCTAGGTAATTCACGTTTTGTTTTTCTTAATGTCGCTCATCGTGCAGTCATCTTCGTGCATCATAAGGATAAGATGGCATGTTTACTGTTGTGTATTCTTAGCTCTGTGATTCTTAATCCATGAGATATTCTGCCTTTGATATCTCTCTTCCCCGCCTCCTCCCGATCTCTTCCCATTCCCTTCTTCCTTTCTTCCCTCTTCTCAGTTACCCCCTTCGTCCTGATGTAAATGAGGTATCCGCTAACCTCTCATATATATGAACTTCTCTCATTTTCCTCAACATGGCTCGCAATTTAGGTTCAGGAAGCCGTTTCCTCCGAAATCTCTTTTTTTTGCCGGCGTGTAATAATTCAGAAGTGCAGCATTAATTGGGCAATTTCAAAAATTCTATGGCGGTGTGTATGTTCAAAGCTGCATGAGCAAAACAGGCGAGGCTTGCAATATACTGGAGTTTCGTTTTCTTGTTATTCTTGTTGTTATTATTATTATTATTGTTATTATCATTGTTTTTGTTGTTATCGTTATTATTTTTGTTACTACTATTGCTATTACTATTATTACTATTATTGTTGTTATCATTATCATTATTATTATTGTTATTATATTATCATCATTATTATTGTTGTTGATGTTATTATTTTTATTGTTTTTCTTATTATTATTGTTATTATTAATATCATCTTTATTACGATCGTTATACCAGACACTGAATTATCATGACAAACTTTTGACTTTATAACTGCACATGCTACCCGTCTTTTTTGCATTAGTCGGTTATTGGGAAGCTTAAGAGAGTACAGAATCATTGCTCATGTTCGTAAATTTGCTCTGCTTGTTCTTCCTTTCTTTGTGTCCTTGCGTCCGTTTTCTTTTCTTTTATAATTATCGTTTTCCCTTTCAGTCTCGGGTTATTATTTCAGATTACTTTACCTCTCTCTTTCGTCCTTTTTCTCTTCTCACAGCTACTTTTCTTCGGTCTCATGTTAGTTAGTAGCACAACTTTATACACCAAGAATTTTCATTCTTTTTGGGTAATATCAGCTGTCCTTCAACTCTCCAATATTATCTCATAACAGGGTACACATTACACTCACTCCTTCAGCCGGAAATGATAGCATCTGGGTACAAGGGAGATGTCGAGATTAAAGAGAACCTCGCGATGCTGACTCTCTCTCTCTCTCTCGCCGGATGCTGCTCCTCGGATCGTGCTTGCTTTCTTTTGGTCGCTTGGAATAAAGAGACTGGGATGCTGTACTCTGCTTTAGATGTCTTGGTTTGTCGTTGGTTGAAGGTCTATGTATAGAGCCTATTCTTGGTAAGATTTCCAAGGTTAAACACTGACCTTCCTTTCATTTATTTATTCTTAGACGAATTTTAGTAAAATGTGTAGAAATAACGAGCCATGTTCTGAATAAATAAAATGAACTCTTAGTTGTAAAAAACTTACATCTCATTATATTTTTCTGAACTTCAAAGTTAGGATGTTTTGAAAGATGAAATTGCAAAGAAGAAATGCCAAAAGCTTTGAGAATGCCTGGGGGAAGGTGGTCCGAATTGATAACATTTCTGAAATCATTCTTTTTAACATTTTTAAATACCGGTTCAAAATGTCCACTATAGCGTACTAGTAAATGGTATTACACCGACAAACATTCCTTTTCTTAACCGCACATGCATCTTGCTTATTTTGGTCATTACAGGTTGTAGGTGTAAGCTTGCATAGGTTCCTTTGAGTGAAATCAGCCCCCTCTCCAACACAGGAAATCGGTGAACCCCCTAATTGCCTGTGGGGAGGAAAATGGGTGCTTTTCCGTCCCAATGCTTCCGTTCCTACATCATGTATCACTACACCATTCGCCCACCACGTCACCCCTCACCTTCCAAAGCTCTTTTTCCCAGCAACCCACATAATCCCTACATACCTACATTGCGTAACAGTGTAACACAAAGCGTTCCACAAACCGCAGCGCACACCATAGCGAGCGCCACTCGCCCCCTCCCCTCCCGCCGCCGCAGCCTTCTCCCCCATTCACAACACCCTTGGCATGACAGGTGTATTTATGCCCCATCGTCACGAGAGTGTCGCCCCGCGCAACGGCCGCACACGCACGACTCGCGGCAGAGGCAGTCGCGGGAGAGACGAGAGAGCCTGTGCCGGCGCTGCGCCTGGGGTCGCGTGTGCGAGTAAATCCAAGCCCGACGGCCGCTTGGCTTGGGCTCGGCGGCCTCTCACTACTGCATTAGTCGGTATGGCGGGGAGGCCTTGCTGCCTGCGGGCTTTGTAGTTATACCTTTGCAGTTGTACATTTTTATTATCTTCATTCATTTGTGTTTAGTTATTGATTTCTCTTATCATTCATATATAATTGTATATATATATTATATATATATATATATATATATATATATATATATTATATATAATATATATATATATATATGTACACACACACACACACACACACACACACACACACACACACACAACACACACACACACACACACACACACACACCACACACACACACACACACACACACACTTTTTCCTGGTGTTAAACTGGATCGGGCGTCGTTTAAAATTTAAGAAGCTGTCGTGTCAGGGAAATGCCTCGAAGTGACTTTTGTCCTGGTTGTGCTTTCTCTCGGTGAGGGAGATGAAAGCGACATTAAAACAATTAAAGACATAAAAAAGATTAAAGATGATTATCAAAAGAAGGCGAAGAGAGCGTGCAGAATGCAAAAAGAAAGACAGGGAGCGAGAAGGAGGGGGACAAACAAGAGAATCATTCGCGCCAAAGAATCCCAGAAAACGAAAAGGCTTTTACAACCGCCAGAAAGGCCGCGAAATAACCGCCTTCAGGAAAGATTTTGTCAGTGTTGGCGGATTGGCCGCTTCAGCCGCCGCTTGGAAAGGTTGAATGCCCAAGCTTAGATCTCTCCTCTTTCTCCTTCATTGATTTTCCTTTTTTGACTTGGAGGAAGCCGGAGGAAAGGAAAGTCGTGTCTGTGTGTTTTGGGTCTGAATGACTCCGTGTTTAATTTGAGTCGCGTTTTAATTGATTGAACGTGTACCTGGGATGGTTTTCGTATCGTTGTGATTATTATTATTATATTTATCTTAGAGGAATCTGGAGAAAGGAAGTTATCATATCATCATTATGATTTTCATTATCATTATGATGATCAATCATCATCACCATCACCACACCATCATCACATCATCACCATCATTCATCACCACCACCATCATCACATCACATCATCATCATTCATCATCATCATCATCATCATCATCATCATCATCATCATCATCATCATCATCATCATCATCATCATCATCATCATCATCATCTCCTGTTCAATCCAAGCAGAGTTATAACGGAAAAAATAACAAATAAACAAGGGGTTAGAAATAAACGAAAAATTGGGAGATCAGAGCAGGATTTTCTATAAAGAGCATTAGTTTCCTGCTTAAATTAAATGTCCGAAGTCCCAGTACGATCGGAAAGTTCATTCATTCCACGATTAATGGCAAGAAGTAAGGAACTAGACCAGTAAAGAGAGAGAGAGAGAGAGAGAGAGAGAGAGAGAGAGAGAGAGAGAGAGAGAGAGAGAGAGAGAGAGAGAGAGAGAGAGAGAGAGAGAGAGAGAGAGAATGAATCACTTGTTTCTGTAATTTTACTGTGGGAATGAATACCTGCGCTCTAAAAAATTACTAACTAGCGACTGGAGAAAAAAAAGACGAAATAAAATTATACGCGTGTATATTGCGTAGGTTTCGTATATATATATTTTTTTAGTGTTTGTGAGATTGCATGTCGGATTGCGTGAATTTGTGCGCGCGAGTGTATCTAACGGGTGTGGCTGCTTATGCGTCTGTGCGTGTGAATGGGGTTGTACATGAATAATGGGACAGGGAAGGGGGTTATGCGTGCTCTGAACTGTGTACAAATTCGTGTGCGTGCGAGCGGATGTGAGATAAAGAGACGGAGAATAACATGGGTAAGTTGATAGACCTTGAAAGGGAAAAGGAAGTGTGAATATAAAGGAGAAGAGTAGGAGTTAGGTGTTTACTTATTATTTATAAAGTAGAAGTTTATTTCTGTGTTAGATTTTTGTTTATTATTTGTGAAGTGGAAGTTTATTTATTGTTTGTTAGATGTTTGTTTATTGTTTGTGAAGGGGAAGTTTATTTCTGTGTTAGATGTTTGTTTATTAGTTATAAAGTGGAAATTTGTTTATGATAGAAAAACAGGAACTGAAAACAGGGACGGATATGGAAGTTTCTATCCAGCTGATTGAACTGTCAAATGTGGAGTGACACTGCCAATAGGGGGAGCGTGTGGGAATGAGGGAAGGCAAAGGGGGATAGGAAATAGAAGAAAATTGGGAAAGAATTGGTAAAGAGTGAAGAAAAGTGGGAAAGGTTGGAAAGTGAAGGAAATGGAATTAAAGGGAGAAGAAAAAAACGAAGAAAGGAGAAAGAAAGAAAGAAATGAGAGAACATTAAAATGACGAGAGAAATAGCGAGCGACCAGAGAAATAAAGAAAACAAAGAGCAGAAAAGCCAAGAGGGAGAGAGAGAGGAGAGAGAGAGAGAGAGAGAGAGAGAGAGAGAGAGAGAGAGAGAGGAGAGAGAGAGAGAGAGAGAGAGAGAGAGAGAGAGAGGAGAGAGAGAGGAGAGAGAGAGAGAAGAGAGAGGAGAGAGAGAGAGTGAAAGAGAGAGAGAGAGAGAGAGAGAGAGAAGAGAGAGAGATGAGAGAGAGAGAGGAGAGAGAGAGAGAGAGAGAAGAGAAGAGAGGGGGGGGGGGGAGGTAAGGGGAGAGGAGGAGAGAGATGGGTGGTGTGTTGTGTGAAGAGGACAAGAACAGA